ACACCACCCGCAATATTCTCAGCTCTAAAAGGCATTTTTAAAGTTAATATTGAAAAAATTAAAGACGGAGACAAAGAAATATGCTGCAAGAAACGGCACTGAACTAATGATACTGAAAAACATTTTGATTCAATAGAAAGTAAACATTGGAATCTATAATCATTTCATTGAATTAAGGATTAAGGTTTTATTGTCCTCTATATTTCCATTTCTAATTGAATACAAACAAAAAAATTAATTATTTATTCATTCAAAACGATAGACCAATCCAAAGCATAAATATTTTTAGATGAAAACATGAAAAAATCAAGTGGGTGGAATTTTTTGCCTGTCAGTTTATATATATATATATATATATATATATATATATATATATATATAATATATACTGTACTCCTTTACTTTCACTTACTTATGTATGTAATATAACTTTCGAATCTGAGTTTTCAAAGGAAATACATGTTTTGAAGCATTCTAAGTCCAAATAACCAAGTTCCCAAAATGGTCTGTGTTTGTGTGTTGTGTTGTGTATGTTACTAGTCTAGCTGAACAACGAATAGTCGTACGAAACTGATGTGACAGAAACTTTTTCTTAAAATTGGCTAACCGGAAGTTTTTCTCAAATATGGCTGCAACGATTTTGATTAAACTCGATGTACCATTGTATAATTAAGTGGTCTTTAATATCATTGAGGTAATTTTACAAGGCTTAAATGCCCAATGTTCAAGTATGTCTTCCTCTAAAGTACCTTTAGTATCGTTTATTTTAAGAATTTTAACTTTCTTTTATTGACAGTAACTATAAAAAATGGCTAAATATAACTTTTGATAGTTTTAGATGATCGAATAAAGGAGAAAAAAAAAAATGCTTGTTCAGTTCCCACCGAAAATTCAAAATCCACCGAATCAAGCAAATGTCATTGTTTGAAATACTATTTCATTATACTTGAGTGAAAAAAGAAGTGGAATATAAAAACATTTAATGGATATGTTTAACACCTTAAATACATTTACTGTAGTTTACTAACTCTAGATATGATATGATATAATATTTAAATAATTAGGTATCTATTGGCCTTTTATTCCAAATAACCATCAAGTAACGTTTTAGAAAATTAAATTAGTGAATAATTAGATGAATTTTTTTTTTGTGAAATCCCAACTTTGTCCACTAACAGTTAGTGAAACAACTTTTGACCTGTCCATGACAGGAAATAATGATCTCATAATTTCATTTTAGTAACCATTACAATGGGAAATAACAGTTTAATAACTAATAGTTCTAAAATCCATAATCATTTGTACGTTAAATGTTTAGATATACTTTCAAATCTCTCGAGGCATAAATGAGCATTTCGGTTGACAAAATGATTAATCCCAATTTTAGTGATATTTCTAGTAGCCAAATTTATAACTTTATTCACTCAAATACAACATTGCAATCACCTACACTGGAATCAACTTAGTCACTGTCTGTATAGATATTACTTTTCCAACTAGAAATATCACTAAAATGGCATGACTCAAAAATATTGAAATTGGAGTTAGTCATTCTGTCAACTGAAAGGCTCAGATACTGAAGTTATGTGGTTTATAAAAGCAGATTGAGTAAATCTGAGTAATAAATAGACTTTTTATAATTTTAATGGTCTTAATGATTTGTCATCTATAAGCTTCAAATTATTTATCTTTCAAAATAACATAAGATATGAAACTTAAAAATCAATCTAACAGTTCGATAAAAATATCATTACATATCTTTTATCAAGTTGATTAAAATCTTTTTATCCAATAAGGGAAGTTGTTTTTAGCTCAAATTGTTTCAAAACACTCAGGTGATCTCATTGAAAATTTTGAGCCAAAAACATAAATAATGTTTCAGCCGTTCGCTTTAAAAATCGTCACATATTTATTGGTGGACAATTCTAACACATAACCCGCGTGTCACTTCGCTTATGTTATTCCAGTGAGAAAACAATAAATATACCTTTGTAGAAGATTCAGTTTGGATCGGCAAGTCTTCAGTCTGGTGAAGGGTTTTGGTAATCTCACAGGGAACAAGCATGCCTGCGACAACTGTAATAAAAGTTTTGAAAAAATACAGAAATGATAATTTAGAAAAATATTGAAATTAGATACTTTGAAAAAGTTTCATAAACGATAATTTTTCATCATTGCGCCTGACATTAGAAAACTCATTCATGATTAAACAATCTCTATATTTGATAAAGATAGGCAATCACATATTCGTGTTGTATAAAGGCATTAGAAGCAAACAAATAAAATAAAAAAACAACTATTATTAGTGTTATTATAAGGGAACGAGTATGCTTGGGGCATCTGTAATAAATATCTTGAGAAAATATTTCTAAGTTTTATTACACACCTAGTTGCCGAGTTTGAGACATTGTCCGGGACCTGCAGCTATAAAAGTGAAAGCTTAAGATGTTCTCAATTTTCATTTTCTATTTTTGTAAAGCCTATTTTTTTGTATAACCCTGAATATTTACACAATGTTCTAATATTTTAATATCAAAACTTTTGTATCTGTAATGGACATATTGTTATCTAATTTATAGATTTGGAAATTTTTTTTTTCATAAATCCTCTTTTCCTGCCATCTTCCAAAAAGAAACCAGCATAACATTTGTAACATTTGTTATCACCCATGATATGTAGAACAGTCGACTAACTTCCTTCAAGAATATATTATTTTCAAGTAATATATGCATAAAATCAGGATGAATGTGGATGTTAAAGATTTATAAAATATATATATATATATATATATATATATATATATATATATATCTGTGGAAATGGAGTATTTGCTTGTATTATTAAAAATAATATCCCTTGAAATAATTTACTAAATTGCTAGAATTTATATTAACCGATTACAAAGAACTGGCTTACTTTTTAATTAATTCAAATGTTTTAACAGTTAAAGAAAACAAACTATTGATAATTCATACTTCAACTACTTGAATATTTTGTATATTTACTACGTTTAACACTAAGGGTTTAAAAAAAAATCGAAGCTTCAGATTCAAAATTTAAATATATAAATATCCATTTGGAATATCGTTACATATTCTGGTTATTATAAAAAAAAAAAAAATTAAAAGTTGTACCTTATTTGCAGTATGTCACTTATGCTGAGTGATTTTTCATTAGAACAGCCACTTATTTAAAAATATGAATATGTATTATAGTCTTTACCTTTTTAATTGAATATTTACCTATAGGTCAGGAAACTATAAGAAAATTTCTCATAAATATTGAGATATAGTGGTAATTTCCTTCTACTATTTGATGAAGAATTGGAATTAATAGCGTACATGACTAAGTTCATCTTGTTTTTGAGAAGCAAAATTTTGTAAAAAATATAACAGTATCTGAAGTTTAATTATTACCCATCTATTTAGTTATATTATCGTATCTGGATAAATCTACTATTAAATTATAATTTAAGTATTCTGATCCATTATATACATCGAACACGATTTCTATACATAAAATACCCACTCGTTCAAAAATCCAAAAATAATATCAATTTCCTTCAAAGATCTATATTTGTTACTTACAGTGGTGGTTTCAGCAAAATACTTGGACAATAAAAATAAGTATTATGTTTTTCAATACTTAAAGGACTAATAAAATACTGTTTTGTTTTTTTTTATAGTTTTTTACTTTTTCTTACAGATTAATTAATGTTTTACGTATCCATAAATTTAATCAATGCTAAATGAAATCTCATAATGACACTATTAAGAATTTAAAATTTTTAACGATTTTCCATCATTATTGATTGAAGGGAGACTTCCTCTGATTCTTTGGAATTTTGTTGATTGTTTATAATTATTTGATAAAACATTTAATTGTTACTTCGTTCTTTAAAGAAGTATTTATTACTTAAAGTGTAGTAATTAGTAAGAGGTCTACACACTGGTGACGTATTTAACCTGCTTGCACGGGTAGTGTCAAATTTAATTTAATTATTTGATATTAGGGCTGACTTTTTTGTCATTGCTGAGTGTAATAAAATTAAATATTTCCAGAAATTGTTAGAACTTTAAATAAATTTAAACAACACAAACGCTTATGCTTTATTGATTTTGTAAGACTGGGGATGCGTTAAAAACAAGGCTATTCAAATGTATTATCAATACCAACAAGTACGACTTACTTTTTTACCCCAATCACAAGGTCTAATTAAGAACATCCCTTTCAGTTCGTGTGGACGAATAGAGAGCGCTGTTCATCCCCACTCCTCACACCACACCTCCCTCCAGCAATCGGCTGTCGGTGTAAGATTGGGCATTCAGTGTGTGACCAGCTGTCCTCTAGTTCACTGACGTTCCTGTCAATCTGCGATGGAATCGTACAAAGTAAGATTCGAATAATTCTTATCTATATTTTTAATGAGTTAATCGATAGTTGTGTAACTGATATAACTGTTTTCATTAATATTTTAGATGGTTATTGTTGAAGTTGAGGAAGATCCCCGTACTCCTTCACCAGTGAAGGCTATATGCGATGAAGATAAGCCACGGCCGAGGCGAAATCGATCTGGGACAGCTCACCGCGGCAAGATACCACTTCCATTTCTGTAAGTATCCATTATATAATACTATTCAAATTGATGTAACGTATGTTTTATTTAAAAATTAATTCTGAAATATTTTCTAGAAGTCAGATAAAGCCTATCTTCGCCAACTATGGCTGAGGAGACAGGCAGATGCTCCAAGACTTACAGGTGCGTTTGAAGAAACGCCTCTGATAAGACATCCTGGAGGGTCTCTTAGGGACCGGATGCGGCCTAAAAGATTGTAAGTAATTGTTATTATCTGCTCAAACGATCCGTAATCTCGATATATGTATTTTCTAATTATATGTTTATCTAATATTTGTTCAATATGGTTCTTTTCAGATTCTCAGAGTGCAACAAAGAATGTGAAGGATTCCAATGTAACCCTTGTGGTTTGGTCTTCGCAAATGCCGATGCTCTTTCGACCCACTTGGACTTCCACACAAGGTTTTTTAACAAGGTAATGATTTGTAATAATTTAAAGTACTGACCATAATTTTTTTTCTATAATTATTGCAAAACATGATACTGATTTGAATTTATTTATTCCAGAAGTGAACTTCTATACCTTCGGCAATGTGTTGGAGTCCTTCATATTTTTAACCGAGCTCTGATCAACAAAGAGAAACAGGATGACAGAATCCGCGCAGGAGTGAGTTCGTTAACACAGTAACCTGAGCGCGATTGAATGAAAATTGAACTTCTATAAAGGTAATAATATAAAAAATCATTTACATTTAATAATAGGCTAATAATCAAAATAATTAGCTCCCTTGAACAAATATAAAAAAGTGACATAGTGTTCTTCACCTTTGGAGGTACAGATATCGAAATATTAGATAGGAAAAATTGCCATTTTTAACTCCTGCATTCTAGCGATTGTAGTTGTAAACAAATATTTGTAAACAGCGAATATAAACCGTTCATGAAAGTATATTAGTATGGAAATTAAAACATATCCGTTGTTCGGGCTGAATTTATAATGATATTAGAGCAGTTGTTTTCAGATTAGATAGTTAGCATTTGTATCGAAGATTTTTAGAGTAAAATATTTGTTTTATAATTTTCCAATAATTTTCTATATCAAATGATACTGTTTTTATCAGTGTTACCCAAAATCGGTCTTGGTCTTGCACTTCACAAGATCAAGACCAAGGCCGCCTAACAGTTGCAAGACCAGGAGTAGTAAAGAAAATCGATTTTTTAAAACAGAAATAAAGGCAAACTAGTTACTAATACTTGAAAATCTTAGTTACTATATGTTAATAATTGGTATAATCAATATACTTTTGCATTTAACTCCGCTAACTTTTCATTCGGGCTTAGTTAGGTTTCTCCTATCTTAAAAATTACAGTAATATCTTTATAGCAATAAGCTAATAAGTAACTGCAAGACTGTTGCGAGACTCTTGAGCAAGACCAAGACTCGTCTCGGTCTCGCATTTGGGCTACACTAGTTTCTATGAGTAATTAATTTCTAAATGACTCGAGGTTTTAATATGGCATCTTACTAGAATTTTGTGAACAACTAACGACATATTAAACATTTCAATTGATTCATTAAAAATAGTAACAACTAAATATTTTAGATAGACATTAGAATTAACAAAATGAAAAAAAAATTATATTTAAAAAAAATCAAAATAAAATAATTTAAACTATTACCAATTCTTAAAAACAAAGGTATCTTCTCAAAAAAATAAAATATCCGACGACATTGCTAATATTTGATTTATCGAATCAAACTATTTTCACAATTTTTAATTTTCGACGTTAGTATGACTATACTAGCAATATTTGGCATTCTTATCAAATTATTAATTAACAATAGCTGTAAGTAAATATTTACCTTTAATATATTGATACAACTATAATAATAAAATGACAAGCAGACAATTATACTTCTTTAATTACTTACATATACAAATATTTAATAATCAACATTAAGTTAGTAGTTTCATACAGGTAGTATTTTACATGAATAGTTACAACGCATATTTTAAATGTCGATAAATTGTTTTATTTATGTGATGTTTGAAAATTTAGTTTTTATTTATTTTCTCTCATGGCTACATTATATATTTAAGTCAATAAATATATGATCTATCTTTTCATTTATATTTTAAACTAACTACTCGATGTAATTGATTAGCTATCACTTATTTAAAATAATCTGGAGCAGTGCGCGAGTCATAAAACTTTCACTTACCAACCAAGTAGAAAGGTATTTTCATATATAGGAAAATCAAAGTCAAGGAAGAGTGTATAAATTTATTAAAAACAATTAATTCCTATGTTTTTCCTGTTAAGCAAAAATTAGGCATTTAATGCTGTTAGAGAATATAAATGAGAATATTACAAACATTATATTTAAAATCGCTTAATTTTAAAGTGATATAATGAATTTAATTAAACTCGTGTATAGTATAGTGTATATTATCTTAACACTGTGAAAAATTAGGCATTTAACCCTGTTAGCGAATATAAATGAGAATTTATCTATAATTTAATAATAATTAAATTCGCTTAATTTTACACTGATATAATGAATTTACTTATGATCGTTAAAGCCATTTTAATCAAAATTGTAGTAATGTGTAAAATCTATGATATAAGGTGGAATTTCCAGTCAGTCGATAATGACGAAAAAGTTGCTGTAACAGCAACTTTTTCGTAAAATCGGCCAACCGGAAGTGGCACTTTATATCTTGGACTAAACACATTTTTGCGATTTTCTCGCAAATCTCTAGTGATATATAAACTTTCATATTTCTGATATATTCCTTAACTGTACAGTTAATTTGTTATTTATTTATTTTGTATGCTGTCACAATTTGAATTTGTCATCATTAAATCGAATTGCAATAATTTAATATGGTTCTAAAAAATTTTCTTTAGAATAAAATTTTAAATTGTTTTGTTGAAAATCTTAAACTCCCATACTTAGTGCAGACCCATAACATAGTAAAATTCTTAAATTCGTTTAGGAAGTCAGTAAAATTGATTTAGAAATGCTATTTATGTCTTCAGAAGATAGTACTTACTAAAAGTATTATAATCGTGCTCAAATTTCAATCTTCATATTTATTACATTTTTGATGTTTTTATCCACTCACCTTAAAAATCGTCATAAAAATCGATTACATGGGTCAATATTAAATATTGCAGTTTGGGTGTTAAAATCAGTTAAAACATAATTTTAGTGGTTTTTGATGAGTAAAGAAAATAAGTATATTATGTAATAGAAAAAATAATTCGCATCTTAAGGAAACCAAAATACATAAGGAAACAAGTTAATTTTTATATCGTGTTACACAAAAGTTAAGGTATAATTTTAATTTTTTTATTGGATTTTAAAAGCTTTCATAATCTAAGTTTATAACTATTATGTTTTCAAGATATCAGTTGTCTTTTACCAAGATAAAACATAGGGCTATTTATTTCCCAATTAATAATAAAAATATTCACACAAACTGTATATACTGAGACTGACATGTTTTTTTTTTTTAATTTACTTGGGATTTCAATATATTACTATGTTGTTAATTTTTAGATGTGCTCTGCTATTGATCCCAGCATTGCTACAGTTGAGAGAACAAAGGAAATTCCAAAGTTCAACTTACGTTTAAATTAGAAGCTATTTACCAAGCCTATTGGAACAATATAAATTCTGTGAAAAGTAATTTCAAACCATTTTTCTTTTTAAAAAAATGAGTTCTGTTGATGCTGAACACATAATTGATTGTCATAATATTGAAAATACTAATTTGAAGATGTTTATTATATTCAGACTTAAAATAAATTCTGTTAGCAAAAAGAAATTCTCCTATAGATCTATTTTTAGAAGTAAATCTGTTAATGTATATGTGCAACATTTATAAACATCATTTCCTTTGTATATAAATAAACATTGTCTATTTTATCTATAAATATTTGTTTTATTTATATTCCTTTGTTGATTAATAATGTTTTCTTTTTAAAGTTAAATTGGAATGTTCTTCGATCAATTGATAATTACAATTTTACATTTCACTATTTTCTGTTTGTTTTTTTTTTAATTGGTATAATACACTGCGTGATAAAATTGAAAACATATAACAGCCAACAACCTCTAATTTTCCTCAAAAGTAATGAAAAATAAATAAAATAAAGGGAAAATTAGATTCTGGACTAATGAAAAATTCAGGATTGATGAACATTATTACAATTCATCATATTATGATTATTTATCCACTTCATTGATAACAGGTATATTGATATTGACAAGTAAATAGAAATTTTCAAACTATAGAAGAACTAAGCTATACCACTCAGAAACAAATAATCTCCCACCAAATTTTTAATAATAGTGGATTAATAATTGACTGTCCTGGATATATTGAATAGGAGTTGGTTGGGGTGTTCAATCACAATCAACAAAGTAAAAATAAAAAAATTATATTTATTAAATTTACATTATATAATATAGATTATAAATGATGTAAAATATAAATTATTTAATGTAAATTTAATTAATATAAATTATTTAGTTTAAATTTGATAAATATAAAAGATTTTGTGTAAATTTAATACATATAAATTATTTAATGTAAATTTAATAAATATGATTTATTTTTTTTACTAACTTAATTAGGCTCATATAGGTCATTTTTAAGTCAGTGGTTTCAAGTATAAAATTGAAATTTGGTTTTCGTTTATAGTTATTGTTTCTTTCAATATTAAAAATATGAGTGTAGTTGATGATCCTTAAATTATAGTTGAGTGATTATAGTTGATGATTCTTAAATGACAATCTTGACCTAAAATGATAAAAAACAATCTTGAATTAAATATTAAAACTTTTAGAATTTCAATAATAAGAAAAATAATAATTTCATTTCAGAACTTTTGCAGCACAACAATCTATTTCTTAAAAATCAATAATGATGAGTATCATACAACTTATTATCTCATAAAAGAAAACTACTTTTAGTTACTCGAGATCTCAGTAAGCTAAGGATCATCAACTAAACCCACATTTTATGATCAAAGTAACAATAACCATATAGGAAGACCAAATTTAAATTTTATACTAGAAACTACTAACTTCTAGATAAAAATTGTGTTAGCTAGTAAACTCGAACTATAGACACTATCTTCATAGAACCAAGTTTCAAACTTGATTTCTATCTATTTCTTACATTACCATTGAATTAGAAAGGAAAATTAATAAAGTAAAGAATTAAAGTATATTCACGATTTTAGATCTATAAAGGTGAAAATAAACTTATCACTTTAAACACTAAAGACCTGTACCACTACAACCCATGAAGGGTCTGGGGTTCAGTACTATTTAGGGAAAACACTGTTTCTAGGTCAACGATTAAGCAAGGAGGTGATTTGACCGAGATCACGCTCAACCGCTAGGTTTCCCCTTAATTAATTACTTAATTAAGGGTACTCGCTTTATAGAGGCTGGGTGTGCCCCAGGAGGGACTCCTGACCCATGGTCGCCCCACGGCCAACGAAACAAATAAAGACATTTTTCTGCCATGAGCCGGGGTTCGAACTCGCGACCTTTGTATTGGAAGTTCAGTGCCCTACCACTGAGCTACCCCGCTCCCTCTTTAAACACTAAAACGTATAATTATTCAATAAAAACTACCTATTAATAAACTGATCCTATCAATTAAAAAAATTAAGCTCCTAAACTAAAATGCTGCTAAATATGAAAATTTAACAGTTTTGAGGTGCCTATAAACCAAGCAGATAGGGAGGGACGATCCAAGATGGCCAACCAATCAAAAAGTGGCTATATGACCCCACTATATTAATACCCCTGTGCAATAATGACGCTGCCTAGTTCTATCTATTCTAAACCTTATCTAAAAAATAGTGGATGATCTGTCAGATACAAACATGGCCGACAAAATAGCAAAACGGAACTAGTGCCGTAGTATATTCCTTAACTTCTGAATTTCCGCTTAGTTTTAAGGTTTTCCGTTTATAGACACAATAATGCGACTTTGGCCCTACCTCATGAAACAATTATAATAGTAATATGTACTGAGAAGAAGAGCCATTTCCATTTTATCGCTCGTCGGGTAAGTTAAACTTCGTTTTCTTTCTTGTTCGGATTTTCGAGGCCGTCCTGTATTTTTAATTATTACTTCCCTTTGTCTGAAAATACTAATTGTCGCTATAAGAAACTTTGTAAGTGAATGTTGTGTGATGTACGCACTGTAAAATGTTTTTCTTTAAAAATTTAACTTTTAACACTAGTTGCATCGAATAAAAATAAAACTTTTTTGATATCTTTTATTTAAATATTCATAAACATTTATCACAATTACGAATCTCACAGTTCAAACATACCAATAGATATGGTGGGGGAATAGGGCGTATACGATTGGTCAAAAGGCTGGGAATTGTGACTCCGCCCTTACCCGCACTCCCCTCTGATGCCCAAAGAAATCGCTTAGTTGCTTATACCGTTTTACTCGGTGGGCCAGACCTAAATCTCTAAAAATTGCGTATCGTTGCGTTCCTTGTAACTATTTATTAAAAAAAGCTAATGTTTCCGCAAAAGAAGTGAACGCATTGCCCCAAAATGGCGTCTAAAGATGGCGGACTGACAACTTTGACTTGAGTTAGTTTTTTGGTCACTGAGAATCAGTATTTGGCTTAATATCATCATAATTGGCCTTTTATTAAAGGTGTAAGTCAGAGAATAATAAAACGGGAACTAATATTAAAAAATAATTGTCTTGGGCAGATGGAAAGGGCAAAACTGTCTGTATGTTCTTGTTAACCGGAACTTATTGTCAGTATTTGATATCAAAATGAAAAAAAAACGCGATATTAAACCCAAAAATTGGTAAAAAATACATTAAGCGAATGAGGAAGGAATTGCCAAAATCTCAGAAAAGAAAACAAGGATCAGTATCCATTGTATGCCAAAACGAGTATATTGTAGACAGATGGATAGAATATTATATGAACATATGCTATAAGGACAGATACAAGGAGCTGTTAAAAGGGGGTGAAGTGTTTGCTATGATGTAGACCATTTTATTTTCGATTGTTACTTAAGTAGCACATAGAGAGTATCTTCCCTTTTAAGCAACTTATAGAGAGATCCATCAAGAATGGGAAGCAGCTCTATTTCTGTTTAGTGAATTTGGAAAAGTTCTTTCATGTAACATACAAAGAGTTTTTTCGAAAACCAAGTAAATATTTGTACAATCCAAAGTGAGAGACAGATAGAGAACCATTTATCTTTCTCGATGGACTTCCATATAACCTGCATTAATGTGAAGATAGTTCCAATGTCCAATTTGATTTTCTCAATCCATATCGCTCTGGATTGACAATATTTCTTATTCTAGCTTCTACGATTATTGAGTATAGCTTCTTTGACACACTGGACATGAATGAATTTCGATGGGTATTACATTTCCTGATACCTCCTTGCCTGTAAAGGACAAAACTACAGTCCTATCATATAATTTTCTAATGACTCATTATTCAACATACATTGGAAAAGAAATATATACCGTAACATGGGACAGCGGGTAAAATTTAGTTTGTTATGATTCCGTGGTGGATACACTGTGTTGGAAGAGTCAGCATGTATTGCGCTACTAGCTTGCGGCACACTAATCTTGAGGCACAAGCGAAAGTTATATGAATATTACAAGTAATATCTCTATAGTAATAAGCTAATACGTAACTGCGAGACTCTCGTCTCAGTCTCGCATTTATGATATACTTGTGTTGACCGCACCTCTGACTTCTTCTGAAATTAGAATCCACGGCCAACCATCTATAAATCATTATGTAATTTATTTTTAAGTGATTTAATTTCAACCGAATAGTTGTTCAATGAGCGGACTCAAATGTTCATAATCATATGTATGATAATTTGAAAAAGAGAAAAAAAAAAAACCAAAAGTGGTACCACTGAAGGCGCCTATACTAAACTAGACCAAATATACTTGTGATAACAAAAATTATTTAACTTGAAAAGAACAATTACATTTTTGCTATTGCCTCTTACTTGGTATTATCTATTTTCTTGAAAGGATTGCTTGATTTCCTACGTGAAGTTGTGGTTTCCTGTTCTTCAAGTTTGGCTCACGGAGGGCTATAGAATCTACTGCTTTATTATTTGGGTTGAACCGCTTGAAAATAAATGTTTCGAGAGTACATTATGATTAAGGAATGCCAACTAGTTCTGATTAGTTTCCTAAAGTGACCATTGTGGGCTAACATTGAGCACCTGTTTGCATTGGGTGCGCAAATAATGCATGTTACTTTGTATTGGAATTCCTTGCCAACTACCAAACGCAAAACTTCATCTTTGACTTCATTCAAAGACGTTTTCTGTTCAATCACTTCTGCTATCAATCTACTAAATACATGTTATAATTAAATTTTCGAATTTGAGTTTTTAAATTTTCAGCCTTATTTTACTGTAATTTCACAGATTTTATTTATATTACATATCTCTGCGACTATGTAAACGTATGGGCATTTATATATTAATAATTTCATTATTTCATTTGTTTACTAATGCTTGTCTTTTATTGCAATTTTAATGTTATACAATTTTGTAATTTACTTATATTTTATTTGTCAATTTATGCATGAAAATTGTAATTGTAATTTCTATTGCTCATTTTCGTTGTTCTTGTGTGACTAAATATTTAGAATAATATTAACTTATCTTTTCTCCTTCTTATGAGAAAAAAGAAATTTTACTTTTCTAAAACGTTATAGGTAGTATCCGTCACTAGCAGGTAACAAACTGGCAATATATTGTAAACCTTACCTCCAACTCAAAAGTTACTCTAACTCAAAAGTTTTGTATACCTAGACCAGAGATGGGCATATTTATATTAAAAAATATAAATACGAATACCATTTATATTT